TCCTTTGCCCGCAGCGGTGAAGGAATGCACTGTTACAAACCATTGAATCAACTCACGAATCCCGTCCTTCAATGGAGAGATTGGAACCCTTTCTTCTCCGGATCGCATTTGCTCATTTGTAATTTACAAAGTATGTGTTTCCGCGACGATATCTAACTCGCCTGGAAAATTTATTCGCGATGCTAGGTGAGAAGAACTCTGAAGTTATCAAAGGCATTTGTGGCGTGGAGTTAGTGGAACAGGAGGTAGTGTGGTCCGTCGAGCAATCAGTCCGAAATGCCTAGTTCTTTACTAATACGCACTCTGACAGGAATGTTGTGGTGTGTAGAGAAGTGGTTAACATTTTATTGCTCTGTGGCGTTGTTAACAGGGATTAGATGAGCTAGTCAGTGTTGTCTAAGAAGATAGAGCGATTGCAGGGCGGAAAAGCCGAATGCGAACTCAAACATCGAGGCCTGTCTAATAGGTGCGTGTGGGCTCTAATCACCCGCTTATAATGCTCTTGTACTAGCAGCTTCGAACCTGCTGCCTTCCATGCAAAGGTAGGCATCATAATGACTTCTTGTATGAATTGTTCAACAAATGCCACCTTCAGTCATAGCCATGTGCGAAGAAGGGACAGTGGCATCTATGCTTTAAAAGAGGTTTCTAAAGTAAGTATAGTATAGGTACGAGCAAGTGACTTAGTGTCAATCAACCTCAACTTTTAAATGAACGCGAAAGGCACTTCTGACTTGAGTTGCATATGGAAATCGCCCTTCCACATCCCTTTCTTTCAACACGTTCCGCTATTTTGTTCGTATTTATTCCAGTTAAACCCGAAGATGCTAAATCCGACTGCACAATTTTCACACAAAGCACTCTATTGTGTCTGGTGGTGAAACGCATTGGGAACCGCGAAAATCAAGTAAATTGCAGTAGCTGGTAATGTTGTACTCGTACTGCACCAAACAAATAGTAAACAATAAACACGACAGAAAGTGGTTGTGGGCAGCCAACTTCTTGGGACTTCAGAAGTGGCTGGTGCGACGCATGTACAACTCAGCTGGCAAACGCATCAGCACCTCCTTTAAATCGATTGGCAGCTCTATCACACTCGCATTCCCTTTCCCCTCAGCCCCGGAACGGTCAACCCCTTCACGATTGGCTGTGACGTGAGTGGCGAAGGTTTGAGAGTAGATCGGAGAACGAAAGACAGGAGAGGGGGGAGGTGAGGCTCAAGTTAGGGTAGCCGGAGCTAATACTGTCGATGTAGCAGCCTGCAGCAGCAGAAGGTGCGGACAGGAGTCTTGTGGCAGCAACTTCGGCGCGAGAGGCTGTAGAGCACCGTGGAAGTGTATTGAAACGGAATGTGGACACGGTCGAAAGGACTCTAATGGAATGAGATGGAGGTTGCTCTATTGCAATGGAGGAAACAGTTGGAGGCAACAAACTTGCAGTGGCTTGCTTACCACGACTGCGGTCATTTGAAGCACCAACATAACCACCCATGCCTAGCTTGGAAAATGCTTTAGATAGTTTAGCGTAAAGCGAAGATTAAGTGGCCTTAATGTGCACTGACGTTCCTAAGTATCTTTGACCATTGTTACAGGCACAAATTGTCGAGCAACTTGTGA